GAGGTTCGACATCGTGTGTTCGGGCACAGAGACGATAAGTCAATTATTGTCACTATCTTGAAACGTCGACTTCGGTGGCTTGGATATTTTCTGCGAATGTCGTCCCCAAGAATTCTTCGCGGCGCATTATTTGCCGATGCCGGGACTGGTTGGAAAAAGCGGAGAGGTGATCAGTTTATGACATGGTGTCCGGGTATGAAAGAAAGCTGCAAAGGGCTGGCTTGTGTTGGTCCTTCACGACTCCCTGACTGGGGTCCGAGAGATGGTTCAACGCAGTGTATAGGTAAGTTATCAGATATGGCTAAGAATAGAAGCCAGTGGCGATCCTGATGTAACCTTCTTTTACTTTCTTCATAAAAATGGTTGTATCTTCACACTTTGTCATTCTAATGATGAGCAATTAGTTATCATATAGTATTTAGTTTTTAGCCATTCTACGTTGTACTTGTTTTTTATATGCTTTCAGCAGGTTCGACGTAATAAAATGAATTTGGGGCTATACTTTTGAAGTAGGGAAACGGGTTAAATTAAACCAGGCTACATAATGTGGAATATGTAATAGATATTGCACAAAGGGAAATAAGAAATTCAACTTGAAGTAGGGATGCTTCACAACAATGTTAAAATCTACTTGTTTAAAAGTATAATTCAAGTAGATACGAGCTTGTTTCAATGAATGTAAGCTACTGAATACTGGTCGGTAGTACAGTGTATTACATGTAAATATATAAACTAGCAGATAATTACAATTACTGTACTTAGTTTTATGAGTTGTAATAACTGAAGGTCTAAGATGGATTTTACTAACTAGTAAGAATAAATGCTGCTTAGGTTTAGAGTTTGAGCCACTTTTTTTCCTGAAAACCATCCTGGCTCCAACTATTAATGACTTTAATTCCTCATTTTTTCAGATAAGTCTCGATCGATCATTAAGTAGGCAACTGCTATTAGATAAATATATATCGGGAGAGGGCCACGTATTATTGACTGAGCACATTCATAATTTGTAAGACAGAGATCCAGCCATTCATGAACCAACAGAAATGTTTATACATAATTATATGTCTTGGTTACCGTACAGTACTTTGCAGGAATACAATGACACATTTATTTGACACGTTCTTATCGATTCAAAGCGAGATAATTTATGTGTATATATAAAGGGGGATTTGTTAGAAGAAATTGGACCAACTTGAATTCTTTCAAATCTCACTGTAGTTACTATCATAGCAAGGATTTCAGTTTCTGTTAGACCATTACTCAATAATTCGCAGTCCAAAGTACTCCAAATCCCATTTCATAAGTTATAAATATATTTCTGCTTTTTTTATCAAGTCACTGTTAAACGGCTCGGTTACTAGTGTACGAACATTTCAGTCTCAAGTAAAATCAATGCTTCAGTTTAATGATGATGTGTTCATTAGATCTCGTTTATTGCTCATCGTTGTATTGAAGGAACATATGCTTAAACAATCAAATCCGGAATAGTACTCAAAAATTATCTTCATATTTAAGTAGGTATTTGATACATTTCCCGATGCAACAAGGAACAGTTCTATGATTGAGGAAGAGGTCAATAAATTCTTTACTAAAATTGACTCTGGGCAGTGTTCAAATGTTCTTTTATCAGATTCCTTTCATTCTAATTACCCAGTCACGTCGAGTGAAATTTAAAAACATTGTGAAACAAATATTGCAAATGAATCGATTTCTGATCAAATTTCTAATGTTGTCATACCAGATGCTGGCTGTCTTAATGATCCGTTAGTTTCTAATGTAGTTTTTAATGAATTTGAGAGAAATATTTAAAATGAATCAAATTCTGGAGATATCGTAACAAATGTTGCTTGTTTTCACAGTGCATTTGTTTCTAGTGAAAACCTTAGTTAATATGAAGCACAAATCCTCAACTAGTTCAAAACTAATTATAATTCTTATGGTGCCGTATCAAATATTATTTATCTTTACAATCCATCCACCCCTAGTCAGTGTGAGAAATATGTTTTAGATGAGTTACATTCTGACCATATTTCAGATCTCATTGTAGCAAATGTTGGGTGTTCTCACACCTCATATGTGTCATATAGAATCCCTGCTCAATCCTATGATGTATCATTTGATATAAAAAATGTTTACGAAGCAGCTCCAAATCCAGAATACCCAGGAGTGGTGTCGTTCACACAGTAGGAAAATTTAAATTTAGCCCTCAAGTCAGACAGTTTAAAATTTGAGATAAGGCTCTATGCCTGTAATGACAAGATGCTAAATGAAAGCGGCTGAACCGGACACTGGCTCGAAAGTTTATGCCTACTTCAGGAAGCTGAGGTTAAATGGAGATAAAAGTTTGTGAAGTTCATCTCGCCAAAAGCGTTAAATTTAGTCAATTTGCACAGTGCACTCAGTATTCGTCATAATTATGTAGAAATACACAACCAATCTGATGATATTTACCTTGTTTATTTGGACAAAGGGGATGTCACACACAAAATGGTATATATTTTCTCAATTCAGAGTCAGTTCAATTTCAATATACATGTATGTAAAATCCAGCCACTTGCTGATTCTAATGGTTACGAGGCATACACAAATGTCCTGTTCAAATGCTTTGGAGACCTAGCAAGCCTACATGAATCATATAGATTGTTACTGACAAGTCGAAATTTAAAATGTGCTTATTCGTATTGTAAATGGGATAATGGCATTGTATTTTTTCATTTTAAGAGTGAAAATACTATCATGTGTAATATTACCCATACAGGTCAAGATCATATTAAATAATCCTTCAACTTTTATGCAAACCCACACATCTCAATGTGCATATTTAATGAAGGTGCGAGTGGTGTTGATGCAGTTTAATTCGATAAAGTCACATTATTTGTGACGTATTTACATGAAGATTCAACATTTTTTCATGGAAGAGGGAACGAAGGAGTAGAGCATGGAAGTCAGAAAGTTAAAGCAACTTTTTTGAAATGAAGATGAAAAACCAACTGGAAACTGGAATATGACCACGTGATCAGCCAAGTAAGAAAACGAACAATAACCTTTCAAACAGACGTTTCACGGAAAACTTATTCCTACGAATTCCATTAAAAAAGAAAGGGAGGTGATATGACGTGATTAAAAAGCGAAATTACATTCTTTTACTCATTATGGTTTTTGTTCAACATTAATTCCTATTTAATTCAATGTAGTGATTATTCAGTGTAGTATCGTTTTGTTTTCCAACATGATATTTTATCCGGTATAATATTAGTTTATTTGAGTGTGATGTGTTTGTTTAAAATACGATAGATATTCTTGTATTAAATTAACGTTAATTACATTCAGTATGACAAGTAGCATGTGATTTGTTACAATTCTAAGTATTTTTCGTGTACGTGATTTCATCATTAATAACAATCAAAATGGGGTTTACAGTTAACATATAATGAGTATATTTTCGATTCGGGTCGTCGTCATGTTTTGAGGTTAATAAATCTCCACTTGTACCAGTCTTGATGTTCATAATTCAAATCGTGTGAATTGCAGTAGATCGTCGTTTTACAGGTTTAAATAATAAGCTATTCCGACATAACAGTTAGCGACGACCAGTCAAGCACCAATAATTTCTTTACTTCGGTGTCCCACAATAATAAAACTTCAACAATATCTGTAATTGTAATAGTTCACTTAGTTGTATACGTTTAAGGTTTTTTCATACACCTGAAATGATATCATATGGTTTTATTTAAAATTTGAAAACTACTTTAAAGATATACTTGAAAATCATATTTATGAAATCAACGAATGTTAATCAGATTCACATATGATATACAAGGTTTTGTAGTTGTATTACACAAAGATCAATTATTAACATTGTTTATAGTCAGTTTAACCCTTATACCTGCCCAATAGTTCCTATTTTCACTTCTTAGGATTTAAAAGCATTCTTACTTACTTACATCTGTTACCCCCGATGAAACATAGGCCACCAACTAGCATTCTCCAACCCACCCTGTTCTGAGTCCTTCTTCCTAGTTCTATCCAATTGTTGTTCATTCTTCTCATCTCTGTCTCTATTTCTCAGCATAATGTGTTCTTTGGTCTTCTACTTTTCCTTTGGCCTTGATTATTCCATGCGCTGGTTTGCCTTGTGACGTAGTTGGGTGCTTTTCTAAATTTGTGTCCTATCCACTTCCAGCGCTTCTTCCTCCACTAGAATCTGGTTTGTTCTCTCCCGCAGTAGGCTGTTGCTGATAATGTCTGATCAACAGATCCGAAGTATTTTGCGCAGGCAACTGTTAATAAACATTTGTATCTTTTGGATGATGACTTTCGTAGTTTTCCAAGTTTTCGCTCCATACAGTAGAATTGTCTTGACATTTGTATTGAAAATTCTGACTTTGGTGTTGGTTGACAGACAGTTGTTTTAATTTCCAGATGTTCTATACTTACAACCTGTAACATTCTAAAATCTAAGTTATTATAGATATTGACATACTTATAAATACGAGGGTGATTAGAGATGAATATGTGTATCATGATGAAGCGAAGATTCCAATAAAGTTAATGTCATAAAAATTTTGTTTCGGATAAATAAATAAAATTCGAGAGGGAAAGTCCCAGAACATTGAGCTAGTGCTTAAAACACATAAGCTTAACAAACGTTAGATTATCGCCTAATAAAGCAATTGAAAAAAGATTAATGGTAATAAACAAAGATATAAAATGAAATCAGTCAGTTATGAATTGAAGAAAAATAACATTGATGTAATCAAATTTCAGAAAGAGTTGAAATATTGAACGACGTAATAATTAAAAATGTGTTTCAATGTTAGAAGGGCAAAGAAAGATTTGTTACTACATTTTTGGATACATAGATCTGGTTTTAATCGTTTGATCGCTATGGCTTCGGCAAATTTCAAAAGATTGGAGTTTGTTAATTACTCACCTTGAATAACTTCAATGTATCCAATTGATGTCCTGTGTCAAGGTGTCTTCAGATGGTACTGCTGAATGCTTTTAATCCATTAAGACAAATAACATTGATAATTGTTAAAGATACATTATCCATCAGTCATATAATGATTAATAAAGGGCATTTTCCCTGAATGTTAAAGATTACAGTGTATAAAATGATTCTATTTCATAAGGGTATATGAATTTCCCACGTCAAAAATCCATATTTAACTTATTCACCGTTATGCTTGCAAATAAAAAAACGTCTGTCTTTTCTTTACAGTATCCTAATGACGACTGGGCGTTTGCCAATCCTGATGACCTTGCTTTGGACAATATTATTGATGAAGAGCATACGAGTAATCACCATAATTTCGAGGATAACTCTCTAGACCAAGAACAACCAATTTCAACTGCAAAACGTAATGCAACAACAATTGACCCATCTTTACCACAAATTGGAAAGGATAAACGAATACTTACATTGAAAGATTTATTAAATGCTTATATACTGACACGTGCACGACTTCGTCTTGCTCAAGCTTGTTGGGAACAGGGAATGCTAAGGGCGGGTGTATTTACACCAGATGAAGTTGTTCGAGGATTATTGTCCGTTGCATTATATGATGTAAGTCTTTGTCAGGGCGAATCCAAGAAAGTAATGCAAAACCTTCCCCATTTTTGGCTGGTTAATCTAGGTTGATAAATACATTGATTAACAACCAATATTATGCTTTCTAGTCCTTAATGCTGATCGAATTCTATCGGTCAAGCTTCACTATGACCATCAATCTAATTGATTAGACGTTAAATGAACTATCTTCCTATGCCACAATTAGAAATAGTTGACTGGATACCCTACTTGTGAATTAGGCTTCGTATCAGTTGACACTCGTCACCAATGGTGTGAACTTGTCATTTTGAGGGGAAACCCACCACAGATCACTACTGCCCAATCTATGGTTTCATAGGATAATAATATTGTGTTCTGGCCGTTCCAATGGCTTTCTTCCTGTTAAGTGTTAACTGTCCCTGAATGCTACACGTTCCTTCGATTCACTTGATCATTAAATAGTTGAACAATCAATTCACTCTTTAAGTATTAGGCGCTAGTCAATCGTAAACCAGTTCTCATAATTTTTTACATAATTTTTAAATTCCCTTTTTTTCAGGAAGCTGTTCGTCTTTGTGAATCCTACGATCTTGATCCTGCACTCATCATTAATAGTATAAGTTTACGCTGTAGCGAGCTTGCTCAATGTGCAACTGGTAGTGTCAACTTGGTGAACTTTTCACAGCCTACAGTTAATTATGAACTTCGTCGAAAAGAGGTTTACGATATTCATCGTACAACTTCTGTCATCACAACTGGTTTAAGTCAATTCCCAGTACTACCAGGATTGGCGAATGATTCATCTCCTTTAGAGCACGAGGCTGATCTAGTTCAACAGTCTTTATCTAATTTGTCCACGTTAAATTTTGATAAAGTTGGAAACGACGGTGATAATATCGGCGCTATTGAAAAATCCAGTAGCTTGAAAATAGTATCATACCATTCTAATTATAATTATTCTAGGTAAGATTTGATTGTTATTTTATTGGCCAGATCAAATGATTTTTTTATTTCAAAGTGTTTATTGTTTATATTCAAAGGGAACTGGTATACTGTTGTGCTTTTTGCAAAGTATTCTAATTTGTAGTCAGTATTCGTCAATGATATGATGATCAGATTTGGTTAGCCGCTAATCAATTACCCGATCCTCTTGAATACTCATGATGATGATGATGAATACATACAATGTTTTTAAGCTCTGACATTGTTACTGAGACTACAAACTGATACCAGACCAATGCTGGATATATGGAAATACTGGACGGCCATCTTATCCTACTATAAGATTCCTCCTTGACCCTTCTACAAAGGATCAAATTCAGTCTTGCGCGCGAACGTCTGATCTCTACAACAGCCGAAATCCAGTAGTGTACAGGTCTGCTCGCGAAGCTGAATTTGACCCCCTGTGGTTGGGTCGTGGATTTTCGATACTGAGAAGTCGTAAACTAAAACGAAACAGACATTCAGTGCTTTCACGTTTCCAGTCATACTCTAGTTAAGATTAGTTCGTGATCTGAACAAAATCGAACAATCTCTACGAACCTTATACCGATAATTTGGCTTTTTCATCATTCATTATTTGTTACCAAACATCCTCTGAAATTCCCGGTTGTTTTTTCTATACTTAGTCGATGCAACTTACCAGAAATGTATTGGCGTCTCCTAGAAACAGTTCTCACACGTCTAGATCCTCCAAGTACAACTAATGAAAAACAATCAACATTTCAAACAAAATATCATGGTTTTCTACATTTAATTGCTTGCGAAAATATACTCGCCTCAGGTCCTAATCAATTATATCTACCTGAGTGGTTAACTTCACGCTTATTGTCTACTTCATATGCAACAGAACGAGCTGTTAACTTATTACGTCTGTACATAAAATTCAATCGTTTAGAAACAGCTTATCGATTAGCAATGGATATGCTCGAAGCAGCTATGAATAAAGGCGCAGATCCATCATCCTTCGGTTTACGAGTAAGTATATTTAATCTCTATATGTTTTTTTTGTAGTATTTAAGTAAGACAATTGTGTGTACTTCCGAAATCTATAATTTTAATGATAGGGAATTAATACTTATTTATAAGTGTCTTCGAAGCATTGTTTAAGTATGTTAAAACCATCAAGTAAACATTTCTATGATTAGAAACAGTACTAAACAGATATAATAAATTGATCGATTAGATTATAATATTTATCGACCGAGGTGATTGGGGTAAGTGTAGTGTAGTTCTAGCAACCGCTTACCTCGATGCACATTATTGGGCGGTGTAAAGAGATTGGTGGAAAAGTAAAAACAGCTAAAATGAATCATGCTATCAGTTTATATAGTTATTGACTGTTGTCCTGAGCGATTTACACAGGTGTAAACTGTCTAGTTGAGGTTCATCTATTTATCAAAACCGTCGGTTCGAGACGTTAGGCAATACTGTTCAGACTCGATCATAATGGTCAAAATGCATTTGTTGTCTATCTTATTTTAAATTTTGAGATTTAGATATTTTATTCTGTGAATTAATCAGTCCTTTCCGAATCATATTCTCTGTAGTTAATCTTGTATATCACCATTAATACTGCTATTATCACTACTATTACTTCTGTACTAACCATACTATCCTGATATGTTGTAGCAGCTTAAATCAATACACATAATTGTCAGGTTTTATCTTGCTTTTAACTAGCTGATTAAAGGGGTGAATGAGAAAAATACAAACACTAAAACGGGACTGATCCTCTTTTGGTGGAGTTTTGTTCTCTGAGCTGGATGGTTTGGTCGTGGAGCTTTCATCGTTCTTCTGAACGACATCATCAGCACAAACTTCAGATAGAAGTCTACTTCTAGTGTAAAGTCTATTTCTACCTGAAGTTTGTGCTAATGATTTCATTCAAAAGAAAGATGAAAGCTCCACGACCAAACCATCCAGCTCAGAGAACAAAACTCCACCAAAATCATCCACCTGAGCTACAAATCTTCTCCACCATCTCGGAACTGATCTTCAGAACAACACAGAATCAAATTCACAACCTTTAAACTTAATCATAAATGGATGTTATTATTAGGTCAGATAAGTTGGTATTTTGTTTTTCTCTCTCAGTTTTCATCGTCTATTTCTAATCACGCCATTCGTCGTTTTGTCTGAACAATTAAATTTTTTAAATTTACTCTTTTTCCATCCTTCTTTACCACTACTGTTTTAGTCCACTTTATCCAATTCAATGGATCCAACAAATCCTATACGAAAAGCCAATAAAACTATGACGATATCAGGTACAATGTATCTTCCACATACATTATTTGTTTATATATTGAATGCATTGAAATTATTATCGCCTGAATCAAAAACCTGTGAAGCTGTAAGTTTTTTCTAATCACATTAATCTATTTTCTTTTTAATTTCACTAAATTCATAATTTTCATGATCAAATTTATACCTAACGTTATCGATGTGGATTGTTGTATGGATAGATAATAAACTATATCTCTTTAATGATGGTAATAACTTAGATACTTGTAATAGATAGGTCGGTTATTCACTCAATGGTTTAGGCACTCGACTTTCAGACGCTAAGTCCGAGGTTCTAACCTCACTCCGTTTATTTCGATCAAGCGGGTAATATAACTCACCTGCAAACGTAGAGAATGTGGTAACCAACTGCATAAATCTTTACTTGCTAGATAAGCTGATCAATAAAATCTTATATTTGAGATTTTAGTCTATCATAATTTCATCTGACGTTTTAATATTTCCAACTCAATGAACCTGTCTTATTATGTAAAATTGCGTTTGTAGCTCAGTCGTTGTATTACAGTGAGGGTTTTTAGGTTTTGATGATAATTTACATAATTGAATAAATTTAGTAATCGTTAGAAAATCCCTAGGAACATTAGATAGTTTTTTTGTCCTAGTTATGGGATTTCCTAGGTCTGCGCACACGTGTCCCTCCTAGGACTCAAGTACGAAACCTCCCAGAATTATAGTAATGATACTCTTTATCTGGAAGTATTTGAATTCTCCCGTTATCGATGTTAAAGACTGATCAATCTCTTTATGTAAATATAATGATGATAACCTTTTAAATACATTGTCCGGCTCAAATAATACATATATCGAGAAAATATTCACTGATGTCATCAATCTCCTCACCGCGTAAATTATTTTTACGTGGCGCAGTTACTATTCAATGTTTTAAGTAGTAAAGTTGACGCATTAAAATTATCATTAACTTTGTCTTCTTTTTTAATACACAGATGCACGACAATTTAGAATCGGCACTAAGAAATTATTTTGTTAAACTTCAATCAGTTTGCCGCGGTTTAACCACACATTAAGGTTCGAATGTGGATCTACATTTTAAAAGGACATTGTTAACTCATGAGAATTACGTCTGAGTGGACTAATCCTTCCATGCACACACGCAAACCTTACCAATGCTTGTATTGTAACCGAAATATTAATTGTATTATATTTTATTTGTACAATATGCATATTTACACATATTTTGTGTTGTTTTGTGTCTCTGTCAAATCATTTGACTAACTGTACTCAGTTATTAGTCAATCAATAGTAAGCAACGTGGACCCTGACATATACATGCTTACGTCATGTTACCACGCCATATCAACACAATGAGATGGAATTATCAGAACAAATACCTGATTGGTAGAATTAGTAACAGTATTAGCGTAGATAATATGATTTGAGAGGAATGAAAGATCATTTACAAGGTAATGGGAAACCAATAAATCTGTAGCTCATAATTTCTCATCAACGTAATGATATGAATAAAATTGTTTTACAACGTATTCGTATACGTGCACTCGTCTTTAAACTACACTATTCGTATAGCCAAAATCTATATAGGTTTGCTGGATTTTGAACTCACCGCCTATTGCTCATAACGTAGGCGAGCTAACCACTACCCGTCACTGAAAAGTAACACAATATTGACTCTTTGGTTTTGTAAAGCCATGTGGAAAAGATTCAACATTACTGAGGGCTAGTCGTTTATGTTGGTAGTTGTCCCTATCTTTAAAAAGGATTCACGTCGTTCCTGTAACAACTATCGAGGGATAAGTCTACTTCTGATTGCGTCCTAGAGTTTGTAGCGAAGGGAGAACTTGTTATTTAAACGCCGGCCGAATTGTAGATAAAATTCAAGGAAACATTATTAATTGAATGACCTTATTTTGAATCAATGACGCGACATCTTGAATCCAACCTCATCGAATTTGGTTTCAACAGCTGGGCAGTAGGTTGTTCAAAACCCAAGAAAGATTAACTCGCGAGAAGCAGGCTGGTTTTCGTTCTGGTCGAGGATGTATTGATTATATCTTCACTCTCCGCCAAATGTTAGAACACCGTCATACTTATCACAGACCAACAATCGTAGCGTTCCTTAACATCAGGGCTGCCTTCGATTCGTTGGACAAAACTGTTCTCTGGGATTGTCTATTGAAGAAGGGTATGCCTGAGAAGTTTATTAACATCTTAGAGGCCCTATATACAAACACATAAGGTAGGGTTAGGCTATACAACCACCTTTCTCCATTGTTCCATTCGAGCAGTGAGGTTAGACAGGGTTGCCCAATCTCACTATTCCTCTTCAACTTTGCCATCGATGACATTCTGGAAACAGCTCTGATGGATGTAAGTAATGGCGGTGTGGATCTATTGCCTGGAGAAAGACTTCTCGACCTAGAGTATGCGGATGATATCGTCTTACTGTGCGATAATACTCAAGCCATGCAATCCGCACTTAATCAGTTGGCGATCAGTGTCCGTAAGTATAGTATGTGCTTTTCACCTTCCAAGTGCAAAGTACTTCTACAAGAGTGTTAGGATTCTAATCTTGTACTCACCCTGGATGGTAAGCAGATAGATGTAGTCGAGAAGTTCGTGTATCTGGGTAGCTACATAAGTGCTGGTGGGGGTGTGAGTGATGAAATCGATGCACGTATAGTGAAAGCCAGAGCGTCCTATGCCAATCTGGGCCATTTTGGCGCCTTCGTGATGTTAGTCTGGCTGTAAAAGGCCGGATTTACAACGCGTCGGTGAGAGCAGTTCTGCTGTATGCTTGTGAAACGTGGCCTCTCCGAGTTGAGGATGTTAGACGACTCTCTGTGTTTGACCATCACTGACATCCAGTGGCAACACCATGTTAGTAATGCAGAGGTTCGACATCGTGTGTTCGGGCACAGAGACGATAAGTCAATTAGTGTCACTATCTTGAGACGTCGACTTCGGTGGCTTGGATATTTTCTGCGAATGTCGTCCCCAAGAATTCTTCGCGGCGCATTATTTGCCGATGCCGGGACTGGTTGGAAAAAGCGGAGAGGTGATCAGTTCATGACATGATGTCGGGGTATGAAAGAAAGCTGCAAAGGGCTGGCTTGTGTTGGTGCTTCACGACTCCCTGACTGGGGTCCGAGAGATGGTTATACTCGTTTTTTATACGCTTTCAGCAGGTTCGACGTAATAAAATGAATTTGGGGCTATACTTTTGAAGTAGGGAAACGGGTAAATTAAACCAGGCTACATAATGTGGAATATGTAATACATATTGCACAAAGGGAAGTAAGAAATTCAACTTGATGTAGGGATACGTCACAACAATTTTAAAATTTACGTGTTTAAAAGAACAATTCAAGTAGATACGAGCTTGTTTCAATGTTTCAATGAATGCAAGCTACTGAATAGTGGTCAGTAATACAGTGTATTACATGTAAAATATATAAACCAGCAGATAATTACAATTACTGTACTTAGTTTTATGAGTTGTAATAACTGAAGGTCTAAGACGGATTTTACTAACTAATAAGAATAAATGCTGCTTAGGTTTAGAGTTTAAGCCAATTTTTTTCCTGAAGACCATCCTGGCTCCGACTATTAATGACCTTTATTCCTCATTTTTTCAGATAAGTCTCGATCGATCATTAAGTAGGCAACTGCTATTGGATAAATATATATCGGGAGAGGGTCACGTATTATTGACTGAGTACATTCATAATTTGTAAGACAGAGATCCAGCCATTCATGAACCAACAGAAATGTTTATACATAATTATATGTCTTGGTTACCGTACAGTACTTTGCAGGAATACAATGACACATTTATTTGACACGTTCTTATCGATTCAAAGCGAGATAATTTATGTGTATATATAAAGGGGGATTTGTTAGAAGAAATCGGACCAGCTTGAATTCTTTCAAATCTCACTGTAATTACTATCATAGCAAGGATTTCAGTTTCTGTTAGACCGTTACTCAATAATTCACAGTCCAAATTTCTCCAAATCCCATTTCATAAGTTATAAATATATTTCTGCTTTTTTTTATCAAGTCACTGTTAAACGGCTCGGTTACTAGTGTACGAACATTTCAGTCTCAAGTAAAATCAATGCTTCAGTTTAATGATGATGTGTTCATTAGATCTCGTTTATTGCTCATCGTTGTATTGACGGAACACATGCTTAAACAATCAAATCTGGAATAGTACTCAAAAATTATCTTCATATTTAAGTAGGTATTTGATACATTTCCTGATGCAATAAGGAACAGTTTTATGATTGAGGAAGAGGTCAACAAATTCTTTAATAAAATTGACTCTGGGCAGTGTTCAAATGTTCTTTTATCAGATTCCTTTCATTCTAATTACCCAGTCACGTCGAGTGAAATTTAAAAACATTGTGAAACAAATATTGCAAATGAATCGATTTCTGATCAAATTTCTAATGTTGTCATACCAGATGCTGGCTGTCTTAATGATCCGTTAGTTTCTAATGAATTTGCGAGAATTATTTAAAATGAATCAAATTCTGGAGATATCGTAACAAATGTTGCTTGTTTTCACAGTGCATTTGTTTCTAGTGAAAACCTCAGTTAATATGAAGCACAAATCTTCAACTAGTTCAGAACTAATTATAATTCTTATGGTGCCGTATCAAATTTTATTTATCTTTACAATCCATCCACCCCTAGTCAGTGTGAGAAATATGTTTTAGATGAGTTACATTTTGACCATATTTCAGATCTCATTGTAGCAGATGTTGGGTGTTCTCACACCTCATATGTGTCACATAGAATCCCTGTTCAATCCTATGATGAATCATTTGATATAGAAAATGTTTACGAAGCAGCTCCAAATCCAGAATACCCAGAAGTGATGTCGTTCACACAGTAGGAAAATTTAAATCTAGCCCCCAAGTCAGTCAGTTTAAAATTTGAGATAAGGCTCTATGCCTGTAATGGTAAGATGCAAGATGAAAGCGGCTGAACCGGACACTGGCCCGAAAGTTTATGCCTATTTCAGGAAGCTGAGGTTAAATGGAGATAAAACGTTTGTGAAGTTCATCTCGTCAAAAGCGTTAAAGTTAGTCAATTTGCACAGTCCACTCAGTGTTTTTGGAAAGTTGTGTGATGAGCAGTCACCAAATTTCAGTATTCGTCATAGTTATGTACAAACACACAACCAATCTGTTGATATTTACCTTGTCTATTTGGACAAAGGGGATGTCACATACAAAAAGGTATATATTTTCTCAATTCAAAGTCAGTCCAATTTCAATATACCTGTATGTAAAATTCAGCCACTTACTGATCCTGATGGTTACGAGGCATACACAAATGTCCCGTTCAAATGCTTTGGAGACGAAGCAAGCCTACATGAATCATATGGATTGTTACTGACAAGTCGAAATTTAAAATGTGCTTATTCGTATTGTAAATGGGATAATGGCATTGTATTTTTTCATCTGAAGAGTGAAAATACTATCATGTGTAATATTACCCATACAGGTCAAGATCATATTAAATAATCCTTCAACTTTTATGCAAACCCACACATCTCATTGTGCACATATAATGAAGGTGTGGTGTTGATGCAGTTTAATTCAATAAAGTCACATTATTTGTGACGTAGGTACATGAAGATTCAACATTGTTTCGTGGAGGAGGGAACGAAGGAGTAGAGCATGGAAGTCAGAAGGTTAAAGCAACTTTTTTGAAATGAAGATGAAAAACCAACTGGAAACTGGAATATGACCACGTGATCAGCCAAGTAAGAAAACGAACAATAACCTTTCAAACAGACGTTTCACGGAAAACTTATTCCTACGAATTCCATTAAAAAAGAAAGGGAGGTGATATGACGTGATTAAAAAGCGAAATTACATTCTTTTACTCATTATGGTTTTTGTTCAACATTAATTCCTTTTTAATTCAATGTAATGATTATTCAGTGTAGTATCGTTTTGTTTCCCAACATGATATTTTATCAGGTATAACATTAATTTGTTTGAGTGTGGTGTGTTTGTTTAAAATACGATAGATATTCTTGTATTAAATTAACATGACAAGCAGCTTGTGATTTGCTACAACTCAAAGTATTTTTCGTGTACATGATTTCATCATTAATAACAATCAAAATGGGGTGTACAGTCAACATATAATGAGTATATTTCCGATGTTTTTGAGGTTAATAAATCTCCACTTGTACCAGTCTTGATGTTCATAATTCACATCGTGTGAATTGCAGTAGATCCTCGTTTTACAGGTATAAATTGTGACTTTAAGTTGGGTCGATTTTTACCCTGTGCTAACGGTTGTATTTATCGACCGATTCAATGACACGTAAACACGTACGAACTAATGGACGACCTGGAGTTCCGATTGTTCCCGCTTCCCTGTCTATCCCAGCCAGTTGAGTCCAGAACATAAATCTTAGCCTCAACTTGTAAATATTGTATAGTACTCATAAACATTTCGTTTTGATGATTTGCCAACTTTTGGCTTCAAGAGGTATTTCCTGGAGTTCTAGTGAGAAGCAGTGACTAGTGAAGTTCCACCAGGTCTGTTGTGAGATAGTTACTCACTGATGACAATAGTGGATGTGTCGCTTAATTTCGTGGATTAGTTGAATTCAGACGTTAACACTATTGGATGCCGATCAGCTCAGTAGTCTAGAGGTTAAGCGCTCATGCTCGAGACTAATAAGTCCTGGTTTCGAATCTCACAAGGCGGGATCGTGGATGTGCACTGCTGAAGAGTCTCATAATAGGACGAAATGGCCATCCACTGCTTCCAAGTTTTCTATGATGGTGGTTTAGCTTCAATTGACTCATGATCTCAACTATTAAAATTTTTATTATTATTTATTCACTATTCATTGGTTAATTTCAGATGTCTTTTTTTGACCAATAATAATCATAGAAAAAATATTAGTCGACTTATATAACTTACTATTTTAATATGCTCAATGAATTTTTATCCAATCAAAAAATAGGTGTCTATTAACCAATGAAAAAAATTCCCTTGATAAAAATAGTAATTTTAGGATTTATTTAATGTATTGACAATTAGTAGACTGTTTATTATATCAGTAATCTCTACAGTCGATATTAATTAAACAATATAATTACGTGAATCTTTTATTTATTTAATTTTATTTTTGTATCGAAAAGCTGGAATACGTAAAACGTAAGTGATTTTAGATGAGTTTTATGAAAATATGATATTTTGTTTATAATTAATCACCATACTAAGTAAAGTTGTATGTACATGATTGTGAAGCACATCTTATATATATGTATGATGTATAGTGAGATTCCTTACTTAAGTTGTCAATCAGAAAGATGTGAATGAAATTCCTAAACGGTAATTGAGATCTTATTCACCAAAGGTGATTTGGTGATTAAAACACTCTGGCTAAAAAATTTTCCTATCGATTTTGGTGTAATTAACCAAGTATTATTATTATTCTCTACTTAGAAATCATGTGTAACTCAAGTCACATACATAAACCTGTATTTGGTAAATGTGGTATATAAAACGTTGGTTTGACAGATAATTGGCTTTTGAGATGGTGGAGAAGATTTGTAACTCAGATGGATGATTTTGATGGAGTTTTGTTCTCTGAACTGGATGGCTTCGTCGTGGAGCTTTCATCGTTGTTCTGAACAACATCATCAGCACAAACTTCAGATCGAAGTGAAGTGTTCGAATTTCTCCATATGCGTTTCACAGCTTGTTATCCACAAATATAAGAACAAAAATCAAACCAATCAACGTCGAGATTTACAGGACAAGCTGTGAAACGCATATGGAGAAATTCGAACACTTCATTTCTATCTGAAGTTTGTGCTGATTAAGTCGTTCAGAGGAACAATGAAAGCTCCACGACCAAACCATCTAGCTCAGAGACTAAAACATTATCAAAATAATTCGCTGCTAGACTACTTAAGTGTTCTTTTAAAAAGAGTATTTTGTAACTATAGACGTCTTATTGTCAAGATGACGGATTCTCAATCATACCATTCTGATTAAATTTTTCTTTTGATAAATTTTATAAATAAGACTTAGTAGTCAAGAGTTTAATATCACAGTAACAAGTATAAATAAAAATGCTTTTTATCAAATCATATTTTCTGGTGAACAGAGACTCTTTTTAAAAAGATGTAGTTGTTTATTAATGCATAAAGAAAAAGGGTGACCTAATTTGACAATATATTGTCTTATTATTAATACAGATTCCTAAGTACCACTTAGTGAAAATATGTTGTTTTCATGAGAAGTCTTATTTATGGAATTGACATCTGAATAATGTACATTCTTTTAGATGCATGTTGCTAGCAACCATTATATCTCTGATCAGGCTCTTTTTGTATTTTGTACAACGAAAGGTTATAAACTTCTCATACGCCCTTGAAAAGGTTCTGCAATTAACTGACATAATGGTCTGTTAAAACAAAAAAACATGACTTTTTGAAATATTTTGATGTCAGGCATAGATATCTAAGATATTTAAGCAGGTTGCCTAGTTTGGCATATAAAGATTGCTGACCTTTAAATTTTAACTTGTTCCAAATGAGTTAATAACCAACTATCAATAAGATAGGACTTTATATACAAGTATATTTGACCAAGGTAAACCAAATCGTACATGACCACAGTGACTATGAAAACACAGAAGTTAAAGAAATTCAGTAGTATAATTTGAAGATATAGAATATTCTCAAAGTATGAAATCATGGAAAGACGTTAAAGTTAAAATGTAAACGATGAAATCGGCAAGCTGTTGCTCATGATTTATAATCATGTTTGAAAGACAGTAAATATGGTTTTATTTTCTCAGATGTATATAAATTAAGTTCGCTAAGCTTTACTGTGTCAGCTAACATAAATAATATTTCCAATTTGGGGTTGTAGAGATTGGTGTATTTCACTGATCGGTTCCTGATTACAATGAAATAAATAATAATTTCTTGTCAAACCGAACATAAATTAGAAATCCAAATATTCTATTCTGAAAAATACTCTACATGGCTTATGATAAAAATTCATCTATTCAATTACTATAATATCCACAATCAATGAAAAGCATTCTCAATTACACAAATTCAGATTGCCTCCGAAACACTTTAGAATTACATGATTAGTGACAACATTTGGCTCTTAAGTGCGGGTAATAGAATAAATACATCACGTGATACGACCCTCAATCAGAAACACCGATTTATACGACCAGATTAATTGCACATAAACCTGTACGAGCCAGGTTAGAGTCCTTATCGGCCTTCTGAAATTGTAGCTTCTCTCATAAATCAGCCGCTTTAGTTTAGAACTTTAATATTAGCCTCCGTTATACGAATCATATTCCAGACATACTGGGTTTATATACAAATAAACCAGATATCATCGTAACATAGAACAGAAAATAACAATTATGTAGGATCAGGTCAAAAGATGACTGTGATTGTAAGAGACTGCCATTAACAAACTGGAAATATCTTAACAATATTAAATCGTATGATAACAGTCAATAGGTCAAATAAAAGCTTATAATAAAAGGAATATGAATATACAAATAATAGTCACTTAATAGTTATATAATGAAAATATGTATGTAGTAATAATTCATAAATGGATCCTAGCGATGACTATTCACTTATTCTTCGTCCGGATACTAACAATAGGTTCCGTTTGTCACTTCAACCAATTCGACTTATCTATTTTGAGTTTTTTCTTACTAGTCGCCACAAAAAGCTATGTCCAAACGTTTAGATAAGTGCCCACAATAAAACGTGATAAAAAGGAATCGACAAAACTAAAGAAAAGACTAACATGATATCGGATAGCGATCAACGGCAAATATTGTTGATTTCCTCTCATTTTTGTGTTTGTTTAAATAATAACATGTTGAAATGAAGTACATTTTTATCTGAATTCGACAGTATTTGAAACTGACTGAGTAATATCTTAAGTATATTTAACTTATGGTTAGTAGTGGAATTCAGGATCTGCTTTTCGTCCAATTTGCAATTTAGAAACTAGGTATGGTTAAATGTCAGTGTTATTATTCACACAGAAACTCGTAGCCAGTGCATTCTACTTTATGGACCAATACATCATTCACTGATTCTAAACAGCTACTAATTTGTTCATCGGGTACAAAAATTTTTGGATGACTGAATGCAACCTTATTGTAATTCCATCCGCTTTTTATTACTATAATTCATCATATCTCTATTATTAATCTTTTACTTCAGTAATTCATTTACATTCTATAGAGATGTCATGATTATCATTTATCTGCAAAATCCAAATCCATTTTATTAGCGTTAGCGTTTTTTTAGCGAGTTAGTTTTCTACGGGATGGGGACCGGCAGTAGCCCCCGGAGGGACTCCAGGCAGAGTTAAATCCATTTTATTGATTATACATATATGGTGATTTTGGTTCATACACTAGTTCTTTATCTAAGATATAAAACAGCCCTTCTGAAATATCACCTTATTAATCTTTAGTCCTGTGTAATGTCGACATCATAGTGTAAGATGTTTATCGATCTATCTCGAGTAGATTTCTCATCGTATCAAACGAGTCTCCTTATTGTTTGTACATTTTTTAATAGTTATGTATTCCATAAGTCACAACAAAATGTTTGCATTTTCCCATTCATGTATGTAATGTATCAGTATCTAATAGTATATGTACATCTTGAGTAAATAACTCTAAGGTACAAGTTTTATATGATGAATTATATTCAAGTATTGAAATAAATTTGGGCACATAAATGTATAAGATACATAGAATAAAGTGTCAGTTATTGCGTAATCAAAATATTTGTCTTATCTTCTTGATGTATGGGCGAGAATGATAATGATTGGTTGTCTGCTTAGTCGAACATGTAGATAGTCTGAAAGGTGTCAGATGAGTTATATATTCCCCTATCCTTATTATTATTGTTACTAACTTATTATTGATTGTTCATTGTTGTCGGATTGTGTCGGGTTTTCGGTGTGGAATCATATTTACGTTATAGTCAGGCTAATCACGTGTACTTGATCTGAGTTGTGTTGAAGTCCTGTAGAATAGACACTGGGAGGTGATTTAGTGTAGATATTGATCTAAGGTAAATTAACGTCCCATACATGTAAACATGGAAACTAAACCGTTATAACATTAGACGAAGTAAAACCGAGCGTTTTAACATTTTATAGTTATTCTTTTATATCATGAAGTAAAATGGCTTTTTTTGAATATGATATTACGAAACTACTGGTTTTATTTTCGTGTTATATAATCAAGAGAGAATAAACCATATTTTATTGAGCTGACTGATGAACTGACCAGATGAATTGCTTAAATTTTGATGACTATGATCAAATTTCATAGTCTAGATTTTGTGATATAATGACCGATTCGAAATCTTAATTTTTTTTTATCCGTTTGTTTAAGGGAGTTAAAAGATTTAATCATTCTAATACAAAAAAATTAGAATGACTCACTAAACACTGAAGGTTAGATAGGAGAAAAAGTCGACTCATTAATTCAACTATTTAATTATTACAATCTCCACAAAATCCTCTTTCTTATAATAATCATCATGTGTTCACTAGTGACTGATTTCAAGATGCTTTTCCTGGAGTTCTAGTGAGAAACCCTGACCAGTGGTGTTCAAACGTATCTGTCGTTAGGCAGTGACTCAATGAAGACAATAGTTTACGGTGGCGCAATTTCATGGATTGGTTAAAGTTAGATGTTAACACCATTGGATGCCTTTTCAGTGGTTTAAAGGTTAAGCATTCACGCGCGAGATCACAGATCCTGGTGTCGAATCCCACAAGGCGAGATCTTAGATGAGTACTGCTGAAGAGTCCAACATTAGTATGAGACGGCCTACTGGTGCTCCCAGGTTTCCTGTGGTGGTCCAACTTTAATCGACTCATGAATCCAACCATTAAATCAATACAATCTCCAGTAAATCAAACGACATAAGATTGAATGGTAAACGATTTATTACAATCAATGTATCCTGATATCAGTAATATGATGAGAATATACTTTATATGTGAAAATTATATTTGAGATAATTTCAGCGATTGAAATTAAAATAATTCCGACGTTTCGTTCAGCAAACATGTCTGGACTTCTTTTGGGTAATAATCAACATCAAAATTGTCAAAGAAATATGTAGCGT